AATAGAGAAAACACATTGGTGCTCAGGACTAAAGAAAAAGTTGAAGACATCTATCACGCGATTTTACCTTGCGTCAGTGGATTTTCACCGGAGGAAAAATTGATGTGCTTCCCTTAAATGTGTCATCTCATAGCAAGTGCGTATGAGAGAATGTGTATTAATCTTACAAGATACGGTTTTTCATAAACTTTTCTCCCATTACGCACTGCTCTACCACTAAATCCTAATGATCGTATCATCTGTGTTGGGTGGGTTTCAAATTCGCGACATTTTCTTCAAGTGTATTTGAAACCGGAATGCCCTATACGACTTACATCACCTAAGTGGGTGAATCATTATACAATCCAATCCGAGACATGGTCGGACTAATTTATTCAAAGGATGCAAGAGTACACCAAATTCAACAACATTGAAATAAAAAATAAGGAAAAGTCAAAGGAGGTACCACCTATAGATTTGGAAGGCGACAATTATTTCGGATCATTTAAGTAGTTATTTATCATTTTATTGTATATGATATTTTGTTAATATTTTATGTTGTGGAATATAAGCATTTTATAGTTTGTCTAAAAATATCAGCATTCAAGACAACTATGTGCTTCTGTTCTGTTTTGTTTTCTGGTTTTTAATACCAGAGAAGTTTCCAGAGATACATCTCTGATACAAAATTTAGGATGTTACCGGAGTTGCATCTCCGGTACATTCTCTGTCAGCAAATAGGATTTGTGTGGTCAATAATATCATCACACTACTATAAATAAGTTCACTTGTGGTTTTGCTTCATACCAAAATATAAATGAGCAGCATGAACATCAAATGACATGTTGGAAATGTTCACTTTACCGGTAATACATCATCCCGATAATTTAAGGTCAACGAGTACACCCCTCTTGAAGATCTGCGATACATATTGCAAGAGCTCCTACCATATGGTGATAATCATAAAATCGTGAAGATCGAGTTCCGTTCACCATCAGTTGACGAAGAAGGGTAGCTTGAGTTTAAAAACCATGATCTGAAGACAGACGTTGATTTATGGGCTATGTGGAGAACCTTTTTCCCGTTTAGAATCAGAAGTTCTGATCAAGCTGGATGCGACTATTTCGAGATCGGTCGATGATATTATCAAGATATTGCAACGTCCCACTAGGATGTTGAAGTGTATTATTTGATCTATGTTAAAATCCCTTATGTATTATTTATTTTATGATATCAATGGTGTTGGAATTTTGTGAAGTTTGTATATTTCATTTTTGTTTTTGCTGCATTCTCTAATGAATTTTTTTGGAAATATAATATCAGTTTGATACCGTAAATATATCTCCGGGAAATTGTGTTTTATCACATCCCGAGTGTGTCCCAAAGATGTATCTCTAAAATCTATAGGCATTTAAGGAAATCCGCATGGTACACTAAAAAACATAAGGTGTGTTAAGAAATCACTAAGGTGAAATAAATTTGGCCGACTCTTGTCAAGTTTAAATTTGATCCACTAAGAAATTTAAAATCTAAATCTAGCTTATAGTCTATCTAAGATTTAAATTAAGTCTTAGTCTCGCCTTGTAACTAGGGGAAGAAATAGATAATGGCAGAAAATTTATTGTCTAAAGGAGTATAGCTGCGTTTTTTATTCGTTGATAAGTTTTTAGATTTTTTGTGAATACTGTGACTTTTTCACTATAAGCTATAGTTTTGAAATGTGGACATTAAATAACAGTCTCATATTGAATATAAGCCACGACTATAAAATTGGGGGATAAACATAATTGTTGGTTATTTTCGTAAAACCGTTTGCTATATAAAAAATAAACATGACATGTTCTCTATTCTGGAACAAAAAATAGATGTGGTCATAGAAGTTGCGGTTATAGAAAGCTTCTGATTCAACGGAGCAGGGGTGTACCTGTAAGGTTAGCACTTCAATTCTCAAGTAAGTATGTGAGTGAGAGAGAGTATTTAAATTATGTTCGAAAATTATTACCAGAAATGGCATCATCTGCATATATAGAGGAGTTGAATATCTAACTCGCTTTCTAACTGGCGTAAGATACGGACGACCATTGGATACATTGTGGAGGGATGAATCTTTTGTTTCAAGATCACTGAAGGTTTAATAGTCAGAGGAACGTTCCATAAGCCTTAGTGTCCTCTTGAGATGGATCTTGGATATTAATGCTTGGAGGTGGTCGGACTGGAAATGGGACATGCTTGGATTGGATCGAGCTGGGGAGTTATTTCCTTGCGATAGTCGGATCTCCGAAGGTGAGGCTAGTTCCTTGAGCATGTGGTCGGCCCTGAATAGTTTCCCCCTAAGCCATTGTGTTTAAGGAATAAGTGTATGGTTTAAAGGATTCTCATACATCAGTGACCGACCACACTTCCTTTGCCTCAACAACTTTATAACTTTCTACACCTTTTGGATGTGTGGTTATGATATTTCTAGGAAACTGAACCACTCGAGTATTTTGTGCGAGGGAAGTGATTGACAAGACACATTTCGCTTATTAAGGTCAGATCATAAATGAGGGAGGAACTAAAGCCATATTTATTCTAGGTGTACATACATCTCGTTTTTAAACTGTTTGTCTTTCTTCTTTCTCAAAAGTGTCACTTTCTTTTTGTTGAGTTAAATATCTTACCATGGCAAAGAGACCTCGAAAAATCATAAAAAAATAACATGGTAAACTCCTCTTCTTCGTGAGAAGCTTCCGTATTTTCTTCGATTGTCTCTGTTTTTACTAAAGATGGGAACTTGGATGAAGCTTTTTCTGATGTTGGCAAACTGTCGCTTTGGGGGATTTACGATCCTTAAATATGAAGACATAATTTGTAATGAATATGGTAACTGTATCATTCCTCTATATGAGTATCTCTTTTCGTTTCTGGGGGTCTGTTTTCCTTTTACCTCAACAATTGAGCATGGGGCCGACCCAGAACAGTTGTCCCCCCCAAGCCATTGCGTTTAAGGAATAAGTGTGAGGGTTTAAAATATTCTCATACATCGGTGACCGACCACACTTCATTTGCCTTAATAACTTTATAACTCTGTGCGACTTTTAGGTGAGTGATTATGATCTTTCTAGGGAATTGAGCCACTCAAGTATTATGTGTGAGGGAAGTGACTGATAAGACACCTTTTGCTTAATAAAGTCATATCATAAATGAGGGAAGAACTAAATCCATATTTATTCTAGGTTTTTCTTCCATCTTGTTTTTAAACCCTTTGTCTTTCTTCTTTCTAAAATGTGTCTCTTTTTTTTCTTGAGTTAATTATCGTACCATGACAAAGGACGCCCTAGTTTTCTTTCCCATAATCGTTGGGAGCAGAGAAGCAGAAGAGGAGATGTTTTCTCCCATGTCTGTTTTTGGAAAAAGGGAAATGAGAAAGAAGAAGAAAAGGAGTTTCTAAAATAATATAAGGAAACTCAATGGCGCAAGCCATACATTCACCCACTGGTTAACTTCCATAAGAATTGAGAAAGTCTCTACACTTGGAAAACGCGTGTAAGAAATAGAGAACAAATTGATTTTCTTAAGAAATGTCATTGTGAGGTACATTAAATGTCATTCATGCTCTTTTTCCCACTAAAGCACTCAAGCTTTCAGTAGTGATTTACATTTTTACATCTCGGGGTCTAACCTAAAGAAATAGGAGTATCCCTCTATAGTCCAATCGTTTAAGGAAAGCCGCCTTCAGCTGAAGCACTCTCCCCAAGCTGAGGGACATGTCCTTTAATAAATATTCACCTTTAGCTGAGGGACTCTCCCTTTAATAAATATTTGTCTTCAATTGAGGGACTCGCCCCTTTTAGTAAAAGGATGTTAGCAGCCCAAGGACTCACTAGGAGGGAGAGGGGCGCGCCTCGAATGAAAAAGGGACTTAAAAATATTTTGTCCTTAGCAAAGACCTCAAGCTTGGGGACTATGTAGTTTTATATTTGTGAGGGTCCTGAAATAAAGCGTCATTACCCAAGAACCATATCGCCTAGACGATTACTTAAGGGCTCGCCCTTATCACTGATGATGTGTAATGTCGTTAGTCAAAGGAGAGGGAGTCCTCCACTATATCATGGAGGATAGGTGGTCGATAACTTCTCCTAATTTGGAGGGATTAGTTGTCGCCACTCAGGGTTACCCAAACCCTAGTCCAAAAGGTCTCTATAAATACTTATCCCTCCAATTAATGAGAGACAAATTAATGCACCCTAAGCATAAGGCTTAGCCAGATCATAACTCATATTGATCACACCTCTCAGAAGCTTATACATAAGCATATCATTAATTCATAGAGCCTCTCACCTTATGTGAGTAGGAGTAACAAAACCACTGTAAAGCAACATCGTCTAAGACTTCTCACCTCGTGGGCAAGCCATAACCACCATATAATATAATATACCTACTAAGGTCTCTGAGTCTCTCTTTTCTTGTAGGAGGAACACACACACTTGTATTTTTTTACTAGTGCAATTCAATAGGAATTCTTGTCCATAAATATAGACGTGTCAACCAAGTACATGAGGTATGACCTTAATGCACGTGCTCTATGATATATAACATGTACATCATCACCTTCACGTTGTACTGTCGCAACCATGTGGTGTGTATATTGGCTCTCTAGAAATCCAAAAATCTAGCATGACACCCTCTGGTGTCTTCCAGCTTCTTAAGGGAATCCTTTGGCTCAGCTCCCAAATATTTCACCATCATCTATAATGCATTAGGTCTGGTAATCTTGGAATGGTCTAATAGCCTTCTCCTAATCAAAATATGTAGCAAGCATGACACATCATTCAATGTGATAGATATATCACCATGAAGAAGATGAAAAGATGAGGTATCATAGTGTCATATATCAATAAACATTGACACCATACCATGGTTAATAGTAGTACAATCGGTCATGCATAAATCTTGCAGCCCAAATAGTTGCATGGCATTGGGAAACTATTGTTCCTCGGGTTGTTGCAACCTCGCTATCTTTTTGTCTCGGTTGATGCATTTTAAAGCATCATTGTACTACAAAAAAAAATACATTATCACTAAAAAGTTTGAGTATTATAACAAACATGTTTCAAATAATAAATACATATAAATTTTACCTTTCTGTCTCGCATGTGTCTAGCAACATGGTCCGCATACAAATGTAGCAATGATGTATCATATAGGTCTCCTCTAAATTTCTTAGGAACGTCTGCATCGACAACATATGTGCATCAACATGGACATGTGAGTTTTCTGGGGCAGCAATAGGTGACGCCTTCCTTCTCTGAGAAGATGAAGTCGGAGATGGTTGAACCCCAGAAGTTGACGCATTTGCATCAAATGATCTGACATCGATCGGGGATCGTGAGGGTCGGGCTCTTTCTTTGCAAACAAATGCATGTTGGAACACTCTGCCAACTCGCAATCGATATTGATTATCAGTCATGTTACCTATAATTAAATTAGACAAGTCAGACAAAAAAGAAAAAACCAAACCCCTATAAATGATAGACAATATACAGAAACGCACTTACGTTTTGTTTGAAAATCAAATTTTAAAATCATATAAAAGTGCATTTTCGTATTTAGCGACAACTCAGAAAAAACACAAATGACAGAAATACAGGGAAATAAAAAATGCTCACAATATATTGTTCAGTTATACCACCTAATAATGACTATAACACACACACGCACACGCACACGCACACGCGCGCACACACACACACACACACACACACACAGATTTCAATAGCTTTAAGAGAGTTTTCATATTGAAGTCTCGGACCCGCCGGGGAAGATACTGAAGAAAGTTCAGCTCTTTACGCTGCTTTTTAATTACAGGGGTATTATAATTCTTTCGGATATTAGCGAACATTGAACCGTTGAGCCTGAAAGAGTGAGAGCTTGATGAGATTTTTAGGGCCGATAGGCCAAGCCGATTAGACGGACGAAAATAAGCAACTAGTCGTGCCATCATACTATACCTTACGGTTGAATTGAATATAGAAGGGCTTCCCTTACCTTCTATAAGCCGATTTCGAAATGCGTTTACTTCCCCTTTCTGGCGGCTAGTGCCCCACCTTTCAAGTTGACAGATTCGTATTACTTCGAGATAACTGTCAGAGCCCCCATTCTCGAACTCCTAGAAAATGCCATTGCATCGGGTTACCACGCACACAAAAATAATTCACATTTGTCGTCATTTCAAATATAACCTTCACGGGTCCCCTCAACATCCTTAACGGCCTGGTTCATTAAGATGTTGAACTGAGACTTCTGTGGACAAGATGCGTAACAGAGGCCTAATCCTTGAGCTCTTCTAATCCCCAAAGACGCTCTAATCCTTACAAGGCCATAGACTAACTTCTCAAAGAGAATGATTACTCCATTACACAAAAAAGGCATCGGGTTGTAGGCGTAAATCCAAGACAAGGTTACAAAGTATTCGTATTCTCGCGATACCCACAGACAGTTGAGAGACCCACAAAGGTAGGCCCAATGCTCACTTAGTGGCAAAGAGGTTCACTATGAAATATGGATAGGATTCTGAGGAGACGTTCATCCCTCTTGCTAAGATTACCACGCCTGCAGCAAGGCCCATGCCTTATAGTCGACCGGTGCAAGCAGGACTTTATTTTCGAGTTTGATATTATTATCTGCAAGGTTAGTGCTTTTTGGTGGCGTACAATGCCTTACTAGGTAGAGACAGGCTAGTTGCCTCACTTCATTCTTAGTCTTTTGGAATTAGATTGAGATGGTCCTAGCAGACAAAAGACCTTTGCAGGCAGAAACTGGAATGTACTTGAGGCGGAAGGAATCGAAAGTCTCTCCCAGAATAAAGAATAGCCTACCAGCTTCCCTAAAGCCAAGTTGCGCTTCCCGCGTTAAGTTTAACTAGCGGCTTACTTTTAGCCGTCGGGGAAGAAGTGTTCTGATGTTTGAGAACTCTTTCTGGCAAATAGACCTAGACCCGCGCGAGCAATTGTAGCCGAGCAATGGATAGTTCCTTAGGCTGATCTTGCCATTACTCTATGCCTTTATCTAAGAAGGAGGTAGACGCGGTCTTACATGGCCAATAAAATAAGAGGCTCTTCCGGCTTGAGTTTGCCTGAGTCTGAAGGACTCTTGAGGAAGAGTTAGACGCTAGAGGATTTTCCATCGACAGAATTCGGTAGGAGACAGTCTCATAACTCTGCAAAAATGAGAGTAAGAAGCTCAATGCCCTTACTCACAAGAGTAAAGAAATTAAATTTTATCTCTCCAAGAGACTTGACCTCTAGAAAGATATCTTATCCGAAAAGTAATGACGCTCTCCCTTTAAGAGTTCTATCATATGTGAAGCCTTTAACATTATATCCTTCGGAAGAAAGTAAGGCATGACATGACTTTTTCCCGTACCTAAAGGCCTGCTATCACAGCGCCTACCGGAGCAGACGCGGGAGAGACTCGTCACTGTTAACATCCCCTCCTAAGCCCGGTATGACGACGAGCGGACTCCTATGGAAGTTCAAGAGAAGAGGGAGCTCTGAACGTCTCTCAAATGCCGCTACAAGCTCCTTCGGGAAAAGTAGTCCAGAGCCTCCATGACCTACTACTCCTTTAGAGAAGAAAGAGGGTCATTGGCCTCTGTAGGGGGCCTCTTCCAGCGCGGAAAGAGTATTCGCTTACACGATAAAATTTAGCTTTTATGTGAGAAAGAACTTTTACAGTACTACTATTACTACCAATCTTCAACGTAGAACAAAGTAAGAAAGTACTTTTGTAGTCCCAGGCCTGATATCACAGCGCCTACCCTGCAGATGAAAGACTTTATCCTTAGAGGCGGCTTCTAATTGAGTGAATGAATTCCTACTGTCTTATTAAAAAAGAAATTGCGTATAGCAAGAAGAATCATTCTATCAGACTAGTCTCTATCATTAAGCGTGAAAAGCCAGCGCCCAAAGGTGCTTTTTCGAAAGCCGGTCAAAGAATCGATTATATGCCTGGCCAGAAGACCGATGAGCCTTACCAGTGAAGCAAAGAAGAGAAATTTAAGTAGCTCTTAGAAAGGTAACTGAATGCGTTTCCGGTGTTAAAGTTAGAAGAGTAACTGCTCTCGTAGTCGTTTCTGCTCTTCTCTGTTTTGAAGCAAAGCATGCTGAAAGCAATAAACATCTAAAATTAAGCTCTGAAAGTCTCTTAGCCTACCGGTGGGCGAGCCTAGCTTGTCTAGAGAAGTCTAACTAGAAAAAGTCTTGATGTTCCGTTCTTGTTGTTTGAAAAGATCTCGGATCCCTCATACTTACTTGTGACTGTGAAGAGTCTATAAGGAGAAGTGGGCATCTTGATCTGAGCTTCTTCCCTTATATAATATAAAGATCTAGCTTCTTAATTTCAAAGTATAGTCTCAAATAAAAAAGAGGAAGCCCGACTTTGACAAGCAAGCCATAGCCAAAGCAGCAGCTTTAAGATCATAGTCCTAATTTCCACCTACCTTTCTCGCTCTATCATTCCATTATATCAGTCTGGTAGTCAGTCCTAACAGCGGTTGAAGCCTTCGAATCGGCTAAGTGTTTAGTATCACCTTAATCCATTCTTTTGCTTTAGTCTTTCTTTCTGAGTAGTCGATAGCGAGTCTGACGGGTCTAGCACCATCCGCCAATCGCTTATTGGTGAAAGGGCTATGTAGTAACCAGTCCGGTTAGCATTTCAGTGTCCGTCAGGAAGACGAGTTTGAATCTTATTTGTTGTATGAAAGGCTCTTTTTAGATTTGGTAGGACTTCCATTTCATATCGTGTGTCGGAGAATCGGATTATTATGATGAGCGATAAGAATTATACATGATTAGAATACAATGATATAAAAGATGCAACTTATTATTTTTATTGCTTTCTCTTTAAGCAACCCGGAAGGACCGAACACTTTGGTTTTGAAGTCTTCACTAAAAGTAGATATAGAGATTGGAAGTGTGCATCTCAAGACTTGAAAGGTCATGTTGGTAGTCATAATAGTTTGCACAACTCATATGTCAAGCACTACGATGATTATAATCAAAGACAAAGTATGACAAATAAGTTTGCTAAAGCAACCAAGGAATGAGAAGAATTGTATAAGATTTGTTTGACTTGTTCTTTAGATTGTTCAAGATATCTCATAGGACAAGGCATGACTTTTCGTGGCCATGATGAATCCTCTGCTTATCTAAATAAGGGCAATTTTAGAGAGATGGTAGATTGAGTAAAATCTCATATTGAACAAGTGATGGATGCTTTTGACCGTGGTGGAAAAAATTACACAATGACCTGCGGTGACATTCAAAAGGAGCTTGCAACATGTTGTGCACATGAAGTTACCAAGGTGATTATGGAAGAGCTTTGTGATAGACAATTTTACATTGCTTTGTTTGGATCAAATATGATCCTCTATGTTAAAGGTGCTTTGTATGGTTGATGAAGATGGACGTGGACCATCTCAAGCAGCGGGTTTGATAGAAAAAATGGAGAGCTTTAAATTTGCTTTTATTTTAGGGTTAATGTTAAAGTTGTTTGGTATCACAAATGATCTTTCAAACGTCTTGCAACGAAAAGAAATTAATATTGTGAATGTCATGAAATTAGTTGATGTTGTCAAAATTCAGTTGGCCACAATGAGAGAGAGTGGTTGAAATAATTTTTTTTGTCGATGTCCAAGGATTTTGTGTTGCTAAACGTCTTCCGGTGCCAAATATAGATGACGAAATACTGGTTCGGGGTCGTTCAAGAATAGAAGGGAAGACTATCATTAACCTTCATCATTTTCGTGCAGAGATTTTTTATGTTGCTATTGACAAAATATGTGTGAAAATGGATCATCGTTTTAGCGAAGGAAGTAACATTATACTTGATTGCTTCTCATGTCTTGACCCCAAGAACTCTTTCTCTAAGTTTGATGTTGATAAGCTTGCTCATCTTGTTAATATTTATCATGCAGACTTTTCTGATGATGACTGAGGAACAATTAGGGATCAACTTGACACTTATGTTCTTCAAGTGAGAAGAATTGCTTCATTTTTCACTTGTGAAGATGTTCAAAGTTTGACTAAGAAGATGGTTCAAGCTGAGAAATATTTGGTATTTCCATTGGTTTATAAACTTTTTGAGTTAGCGTTGATATTTTCGGTGTCAACAACATCCCTTAAAAGAGCTTTTTCAACAATAAAGATTATCAAGTCTAAATTGCACAATAAGATCAACGATGTGTGGTTCAATGACTTGATGATATATTACACTAAGAGGGAGATATTCAAGTCATTCGATGATATTGATATTATTCCAATACTCACCGCAAAGTCTCAGAAAGGACATTTGCCTCGTAATTTTATTTAACCCGCTATTATAAGATTATTTTAAACTATATTTTTATTGACAAAATGACAAATCTCTTTTATTTTGATTGATGACTATTTATATATAATATACCATGTGAATTTACGGTCTTTAAATTTTTGCTTAGACTTTATTATTTTTATTTTTTTGGCTCTGCTATGACACATTCTTTCTTCAATCTCATAAATAAAAAAATGAATATATCAACTTTCTTTGACTAATATTATTTTGTTAGATGAATTGTTTTACCTGAAGCACCACAATCTATAATGGACAATACTCAGGTCCTTTAAGCCATATTTCTTACTGCCAACACCAACATTTGAAGCAGCAGATAAGGCATGAACCTACAATCCAAGTTGGGTTTTGATGTCAAAAGCAAGATAAATTACGAATGAGGGATCCTAATATTACATATGATCGATCGACTTTGATATAATTTTAACTAGAAGCTATCCAAAAACAATAACTTGTTGCTATTTGGTTAGGTTATCTTCCTGAAAAGCAACATCAAGAAGGAAGCTAGATCCTAATGAACACCCTGCACAGCCTCTGTCTAACTCTAACCACTTTGTTTAGTTTCTCCTCCACCCACATGCTCCACAAGCTGATCATTCTGGCCCGGCACAATTTCCTCGTTCCTCAGTATCTCTCCCTGTTTCACCTGCAAAACAACCATTATATCATTATATCTTTGTATCAGATAGCAGGTTTAGTATTTGCATAAATCTTTCCAGAGTTTGAGAATATGATGCAATTTGAAAGTGAAATGGTTACTTGGTCCATCAGACCTTGCTGACCCTTATCTGAATTGGGGTTGAAATATTTTAGGTATCAAATGGTATGCGAAATAGACAATATCTAGATACCAAAACATAACAAAATGTAAATGTTATGGAATGTGGTTGGACTACGAGACTGGCTTGTATGGTGAGGACTCTTAACACACCCTCTCACGCTCAGAACTAGATATCTGGAGCATGAAAATAAATGGTGAGTGGCACAGTAGCGGAAACCTGATAGCAAGTGACCAACAAATTTTAAACCGATACCAATCTTAAAAATTATGGTTAGACCAAACTCAACCTTACAAAATCAGTTTGTAAGGCGATGAACACACCTCCTCACGCCCAAGACTGGACATATGGAGCGTAGACATATATGGTGGGCGAATCAATAGTAGAAATCTGATAGCAGTAACCGATAGTAGAAATTTGATAGCAGATGACCCAACAGATTTTAAACCAAACTCTGATATCATCTTAAGAAATGTGATTGGGCATAACTCAACTTTACAAAACCGGCTTGAAGGTGAAAAACGCTCCCACTTATAATCACATGTTCAGGCTATATATTGTCCAATGTAAAAATGTAAGACTCTTAACACAAGATTTTAAAATCACCTTGAGGGCTGCATTCTCAGCAAGTGCCTTAGCGTGCTCACTCTTGATCCTGCTTAGTTCAGCACGGAGAGAGGCATTTTCTTCACTCAAAACATCAGCACGCTGAGCTAATTCATCACATTCAGCCTGAAAACCACAAACACCAACATTAATTTGATATATCAATTATGACCATCGAGGCAGAAGTAGGAAAAGGCTAACTTTATTACCTGCTTTCGCAACCTGGATCTCCGTGCAGATTCCCTATTAGACTGCTTTCGCCTTTGTCTTTTAAGCTCCCTTTCATCCTAATAGTTAGCCAGAAAAGATGAGAGGTTTAGCAAAATAATGATGCAGCAAAATAACATAACCTGATGACAAAGTTAACCTGTAGCCAAGGTTGTGAATGAACACCATCTCTAGGCCCAGCATTAACCATCCCTCCAGCAACTGCAGTAGAAGGTACCTTTCCATGCATTGCAGGAATGGTGGATGAAGCTGGTGTTCCCCAGTAATCCATTCCTATATTTAAATTAGTAGTGGGACCAGCAACTGCTGCGATAGGACCAGCGACAGACATAGGCACGACAGACATAGTCTGGTTAACGACTGTGTGAGGTGTATTAAGTCCCCCATTTTGAGGTGCCTGCGCTGAACTTCCATTTTGAGACGGCTCATCTGTAATACAGCAAAACATTTCAGTTGTAACAAGCATAATTTATTGATATGCTCAAATCAACACACAGTATTTACAAATGTAACAATATCAGACCTTCAAAAGAATCCTGCCTCTCCCCGGATTTCAATTGAGAATCCTGCAAAACCTATTGAAATGAATACCATGCATGTAGACAGTGAAAATCAGCAGGAAAAACTAATAATTTTAGGCACATCACACAGAAGATATACATGCCATTATGTAGAAAGCCCCCTAGTAAGATACAGTAGATGTCATTTCTGAAAATCAATCTACACCTTCTTAAGTTTCTAAACAAGGTGGATCATGAACATATTGCACTATTGTGTGGGTGCAAACCCCAGCGATTTAAGAATAAAGACGTACCAGATAATGAACCTGTACGCATTTAAGATAAACATTTGAAGCTTTAGTACATATATCAATTCATATATTAAATTTGTCCAACCAGTGGCACTAACAATCAATTTGAAAACCTTCATTAGTATATTAAGCTAATCCAACAAATAATGTAAAGCTTTGCTGGTCCAAATGATCAATTGGCAGATGTTTTCACCAAGTCTTGAAAGGTCTTTGGATATAAGTTATATATGTAAAAAGCTTGGGGAATGTAAACAGATGTAGCACTAAGTAATTATGGTAGCTACAATAATTGTAGATCTTCATATTTATTATTAGCTCACGGCTAAATAAATATAGCCCCACTACGTACTTTACACCTGCATTATAAAATACGCATCTTTCTATTCTTTTTCTTTCAACATAGACATGCATAAGTTAGTTTAACAATTGAATTACATGTGCAACAACCTATGGAAATAACTACTACACCAACTAAAACAAATTATTTGATTTTTGTTTGGAGGCTCAATCAGGATCCATGTTGATAATTAGGAAGGTATATGCACTTCTGTACGTATGTAGCATTTTCTTGAAAATATTTCATTTTAAGATTTGAATAACAACTGCGCTAAATCTGTAATTCTTAAACAGACTACAAGAAGATGGGCAGTAGGAGCTATGCACCTTAAATGTTAGAAAATGATTTTAGGAGATAACATGTCAAAACATTAATTGGTTCTTGTTGTTTTACAACAAAATGTTATCCTCGTATTACACAGAAGATATTTTCATAAATAGGTGCATGCAAGAGAAAACATGGATGAAAGGTTGTGTCACTTCTTGTTCGAAGAAATATAGACCAAGCAGTAGCCAACCAACAATTGGAACAGAACTTACATTGTGGGAGTTTTCATCACTTCCTTCACTAGAACCTTCGCTTGCACTCTCACCACTGTAAATACAAGTTTTCATATCAGAATAGTAGTAGCCAGTATACAATTGTAAATAGCAAACTAAAGCACTCAAGGGACTTAGATGAAGTGATTAACCACCAACTGTCAACTCTACCAATAAATTTTGTAGACTAGACAAGCTAAAGAAGCAGAAATATTGATAAATTAGAAAATAAATAAAATATGAATAAAGTAACTGGTGTTTGAAGCTGTATGAAAAAACCCGCAATGCTAGCTCATATAAAGAAAGTCCCACAGACCACTACTTATATCGATTCATTATTACATTTCTAAAAAGCATTATTTGACAGGAATTCATGCATAGATTACAGGATTACTTTCATTCAACTAGAAGAGGGCATTATTCAACAACTCGGTCAATCAATACACTGCATCTTACCTTTTGGAATGAATTCCATTGGCAGATGCTCCTGGTGTTTTACTGAGTTCATTATTTTTTCCTGTAACCATATTCAAACTACCAATACTTCCTTTTGATCTTTTGATTGGTAATTTTTCCTTCGCCTCATGAGGTTTACCATCAGCTTCACTGCTGCCTGGAGTATTTCCCTGCAATTTCATTCATAGGTTACTTTCTGCGTACTTGAATAAGGACAAGTCCAGCACAGAAGAGAGAAAAAGAGCAAAGGCAAAAGAAGAAAAGTGCAAAAAAGGTGAAAGCCAAAGATACTCACTGAAGCATCCACCATACCATTTGGAGAAGGCATGGCATAAGGACTAAAAGGATAAGATCCCTAAATAAATTCATAGAGAAGTGCAAATAGTTGTCAATGAAGTCCAGATTATACAGATCGATCAATTACAATACAATAACCTAAAAAAAGCATAGTCTACGAAAGAATACCGGAGGCATGGATGGATGAGCATATAAGCCACCGTGGGGATACATTGCAACATAAGGATGAGGTGGGGTGCCATAGGGAGGCATAATATGCTGCATGTAAGCATTTCATCAATGAAACAAAGGAAGCGTGGAGGGAAGTTCAATTCAAAGTAGATATTTTTTAGTATTAGTGTAGTAAGCTGTACACAAGTAGACTTGGAAAACAATCAAAAAATAAATGACAGAGAAGTAAAAATCAATTAACTAAGTTAGAAGTAATAAGGATAAAGGAGAAAAATTGTTCACCAATAAAAAGAATCAGGAAACAATTAAACATAATGGTACAGTTAAAGAAAAATAAACTTTAACTATGGGTCACAACAACAAATCCCCCTCAAAGAAAAAAGAGGAATTGGGCCTGGTTGGCCCAGTTAGAAAACCCTAATTGTACTGATTGTTGACTTGAGAGGAAGCAGTAAACAGTTCAGCCATCACCAATGCACAAACAAAGTCCTGGATTTTCCTCGAAAACCCGACTAGGATCCCCTTCAATAAGGAAAATAGGATTTTTGCAAAAACCCGGGGTTCAGATTTCTTGAAATACGGCTGGGAGTTGCCTAACAATTGCTGCAGCTTTCATGATCATGGAACATTCCTACCACTCTTGATCCCATGTGTATTTCTGCAGGGAGGGAGCTTCAAAGATAGTGGGATCGAATGATGTTACGAGGTGACTCGCGATTCCGCAAACACTGGCTTTTCTTTATCCCTTTTTCCGTAGTTTATAGTTGATGTATTTTATGGAGTATTTTTATAAATGACTTGGGAAGTTATAGAAATTGTAATTGCCTACAATTTAAACTCTATATGTTTATGCTTTTATGTTTCATATGTGATAAATTCTTTTATACTCAATTTTTGAAAATGTTGTCAACAAAAGTGCACACACTGATATTTATACCACTATTCATACCCATATCCTGAAACATAAAAGCTCAAACATAAAAATGAACAATCTACTTCCAATTTCAGTTTAACAATGATATTATCTTGTCAAGTAAAAGCAAAAAAGATCTATATTCACCACTGGTTTACACAGCTGAAGGAATTTGGGTCCCATTAGGTCTTATATGTGATAATTGTAATAGGATAAACTATTGACAGTAACTAACAGCAGTAGTGACGTCAGTAACAGTATTAAATGTTCACCAAATCGCTTCAGAACTCGGAAACTGTGATTAACCAATAATTATCAATGTGGCAATTACCTGAACACCCCACATATATGGGTGGGCTTGGGGACTTGATGCCATGTATCCAGGTGGAGGTATAGGAGAGTATGCCTATAAAATGAAAGAGTCATGGATCAAAATCCAAGCTTGACATTAATAAAATGACATATGATTACAAAGACTTTATCACCAAAAACCTGATAGTTAGCCCATTCAGGATTAACTGCTGGAGTGCCAGTTGCCGTTGAAGACTGCTCCTGAAAAAGGCAACGGGATGTTATTGGCATCACACATGAAGTAATCAATCATCAATACCATCAAAAACAAAAAGAAACAACAAAGACCTGAGAAGTAACCACTGGAGGCGTCTTAGGCTCCTTTTCTTTTAAGGTTTTATCTACGTCACTGCTACTCATTCTTTCAACAGATAGGTAGGTACCTTCCAAAAATTTATACACTAAACCATTCTGCACCAACAACATAACTTACATCACAAGCCAGCTAAAAGGACAACAGTCTCCATTCAAATTGACAAATAAACTCTACCAATGAAATGCTATTTTGATTTAATCCATCAAGTTCTAACATAATATACTGCATGAATCGGTTGCATTCCCATTTAAAACAACCAATGTATTCTTTCCTCTCCCCTCCAAAACCCATTATAAAAAATCATCCAATATTCTATTTATCAACGAAAAAAACACCCAAAATTCAAATTTTTTAAATTTGCTTTCCTCTGATATTTCCTCAAAATCAGAAATTCAGCATACACAAACGAACAACACAAACAACACAGTTACATTAATTTAGCACATATCAAAATTGAGTCAATGGCCAATAATGAACACAACAAGACAGCAATGTGAATAATGAAAATCAAAATTATGGAGAAAAAATAAAGGTAGCTAGTGAGTATGAGTTGAAATTACCGTTTCGGAATCGTCAGCATGGATTCTGAAACCTGATCTACCGGGGGTGTCGGAAAAAAAAAAGAGAAAATTAAAGAATTAAGAGGAAAATAAATAAGATAAGAAGTTGTGTATGTGACAAGAGGGGTGAAATGGAGAATTAGGGTTGAATCTTGGTGAAACGAAGGAAAGGAATGAAAAATTGGGGAGAAATGAGAATTAGGGTCTGGGTTAGTTGGATTGTGGTGGTCACTCACGGCGAGGTATGAATGGGTTGCTGGACGGCGTCGCTGTCCACTTGGCACTGGGAGTCAGATTTTCGTTTGTATTTGATTTTGTTTTGCAAAATGGGAGTAAGAAACCCTTTTGTTTATTTTTCAAAAAATAAACAAAAACCTTTTGTTTATTTCTACGACTAACAAACTTTTTTAACCTTTCCTGATCTACTTTTTCTATTTTACGTGTCTTTTTTTGCAACGAATCGCCCGATTAAATAATATCATCTTTTGGTTGATATCCAATTTTATTGACTTGAAATATTTATTTTATTAAACATTAATTTAAATTTTAAAATAATAGATGATCAAATATTATATTTATTAGAAGCTGAAACATTGCAAACTCTAACTCTTTTTCATTTTCATTTATAAATACAAGCATAAATAAGTCATGGATGCATTGGTTCTCCTCTTATAAATACAAGTCCTAACTCTTTATCTTTCTCAAGTTTAAAGACTTCATTGAATCACTCTAATTTTTAAGAAATATCAAATTTTTTCTTTATCCATCTTTATTAGATATTATTTTATTTTCTTCTAATTTTATTGATGTATCTTTATAGATATTAATCTTTGTTAATTTTTTATTGCTTTTTTTTTGTAAGATTGTTTTTATGTAAGAACAAAATTTTAAGTGTATAGCATCTCAGTTTTCAAGAATTAAAGATATTAGTCACCTGATTTCATATATAAATCAAAGTTGATCAAAAATAATTTGACCAATCCCTACCCAATAATTCTTATAAGAGAGTGACGTCACAATTTTACAAATAAAAATAAATTTACAATTTTACATCTATTTAGTTCTAATCCTATAAAGTCTTTCACCATTCAAAAAATTTGCTAAGATTCTATTTTTATTATTAATTAGTAGTATACTCGTGCTACACGGATATCGCTGTGGTATGTACGTTTTTGTTTTTAAAATCTAATGCAATTATAAAAATAAAATGAAAATTTAAATTTAAATAAATTAGAAAATATTAATATATTTTTTAATAGACTGAAAATAATTGTACAAATTTTTAAAAACAACTATTATTAAGAAAAATATTAAACACATACTTTATAAAAAAATAATTACGAAAAATAGAAAAAAAAAAAATTTTGTAGGGTTGATAGAATTATAATAATAAAAGGGTTTATATAATTTAATAAATAAAACAAATAAATATCTAAAATTAGAATTAGTTTAAAATCAATACATAAATAATTTTACATAAAAGTCCATCTAGAGAATGATCTAAAAAATTTAAGTTTAATGTTGTTTTTATTAAGTTGTGGACAATTATTTAAAATATTAAAAAAATTGAAAGTAAGTAGTACAACTGACATAAGTGTTGCGTTCGCAAGAAACTGATGTATTACTCATGTATTCGTACGGTAGTGGTGTGTTACCCGTGCATTCACACAGATTTTAGTTTGATTACCCGTGCATTCACACGGTATTAATGTATTATCCGTACGTTCATACGGAACCGGTGTATTACTCGTGTGTTCGCAATGTACTGATATATTACCCGTGTATTTACACGAAATTTAATCTAGTTATATGTGCATTCATACGGTACCGATGTGTTATCCGTGTGTTCATACAGTATCAATGTATTACACATGTGTTTCCCATAAATAAAAGTAATATCGTTTATAAAAATATTTGAAAAATAATATACTCTTTGCTATATATATATATATATATATATATATATATATATATATATATATATATATATATATATATATATATATATATATATATATATATATATATATATATATATATATATATATATATATATATATATATATATATATATATATATATATATATATATATATATATATATATATATATATATATATATATATATATATATATATATATATATATATATATATATATATATATATATATATATATATATATATATATATATATATATATATATATATATATATATATATATATATATATATATATATATATATATAGCATGGAGGGCAAAAAATTAAATTTGAAATGAGTGCAAACATAAATAATTGAGTTGATTTTTTTGACAATGTACGGCTAAAAATTCACATCATTAAATATATTTAGTTCACATTCAATAGTATTTTAAAATTTTAATGGATAAATATGTACTTAAATAACTATACCATTTTGGTGAAGAGTTCTAATTCATTAATGTAGTTGACAAAAAATAATTGTATTTTAAAATTTTAATGGATAAATATGTACCTAAATAACTATATCATTTTGGTGAAGAATTCTAATTCATTAATGTAGTTGACAAAAAATTATTGTAGCAAATTGAATATGCTAATTGCACACATATAAAACTAATAATTAATTGAATCTATAAAATATATATACAAATAAATATACAGATTAGAAGATATATGTCACAAAAAAGGATAACAACAACCAACTCTCGTGAAACTAAATATTAATGAAATCTTCTTGACTCTAAATTGTAATAGCATGTATAAATTCCTTAAAAATTAAAACTAATATAGAATAAGGAAAGTTCAATTTTATCTATGACAAGTATGAAAACAAACTACTATAATATTCTACCTATTTAACTATTACAATAACTTAAGTAATAAAAAAACTACTACAACAATATAATGTTATATGCATTTGACTCATAAAGTACTGTCATTTTCCACTTCAAAAGTTTATAGACATTCCTGGACAGTGCAGATACAGATACAGGGAAGGATTGGTAAAACTAATTGACATTTTATTTGTCATAAAATTGTTCTGTGCAGAAGCTTTCCAATAAAGGACCCATCAAACTGCAAAAGTTGTTCATTAATATGCACTCTCGAAAATTTACCAATTAAGTATGGCACTTGATGCAAAAGACAATCAATGACAATATTATATCCAAGATTTTAACCACTTGATTTGGAAAATATTTACTTTGTAAGTTCATAAAAAGTATATATCATGAATGATCATACATCTGAAATATCTTGGATTTTTGGAAGTGATATGCCTTCATGTCAAATTGTCTCTTGCAACATGAACTTAAAAACCATTGTAACTTCTCATCCATGTCATTCCACGTCTTCACCTTCACCCATCTTGTCTTCAAACCATGCTACTTTCATTCTTGCCAATATCTTGTTCAGAAACTCATAACTGAACTTCATGTTGCAACTAAGCCAAACCTGCCATGCCTACATGAAAACTTGCAGCCACATGTACAGAAACACCAATTATACCAAGTCCGGCTGCTATGCCTTCAAGCATCACAATACATAAAACCTGCCATATCAAAAAGACAAGAACCACCTGCACCAGTATCACCATCTTCCCAATAAACCAAAACCCAAACATCAATATTGACACGTATATATACAGTAAGACCAAATAGTTCGTATCCAATATGCAATGCAATTTCATTCAAAATGTCAAATGGTACAAATTCAAGGATCCAAGTTTAGTTCACAAACAAAGCCATGACAGTTTTTCTACAATGCAAATCACAAATCAGTTTCAAGCAAAAATCCAAATTCAAGTCACCTAGACCAGTTGCTACTCAATACATTCAACTCAGTTTTGAAATCCAAATTAAACTGCCTCCAGCTCACATTAACCTCCAAGCTAACCATTTTCTTAACAACTCATACTAACTATTAACCAAACATCTCATGCAACTAACAGTCACTAACCGAAAGTAGCTAAACAAACTAACTGGTTCACTTAACCACCACCTATTCTAACTGCAACTTAATAGAGCATTTAACAGTTAACAGATTTTCTAACATAACTAACTTGCTTCCCTCATATGCCCAGTCAAACCTCTCAATTTCATGTCACCTTCTTGTTTATAAGGTACTGGAGCATGAAATGCTGATTGATGTGCAGCAATCTCAAAGTGCAGCAACCTTACTATTCAAAGAGACATCAGAAATAAGAAGTCGCAATACGAAAGAAGTGAGGTCTTCTCCATTCAGTCGCTTTGCAAGACCAAAATCACATGTATGATCCACACAAAGAACACATTTCTTTTGATAAGATAGCACATGAAAGTAAAAAAAATTGAGCTTTCAAAGGGTGATGCTACGTACCTAGCCGAATATTGTTGTCGTTGGTGAGGAATATGTTGGAATACTGAGAATTTACATTAAATTGCATTCAGTAAATATCACACGAATTTCATTTTATTTTTATTTTATTTTTCTTAGTATAAGAGAATATGTAACACCTTAAGATCTCGGTGGATTACACGGTTAGAATGCAAGTAGTCTACCGCTATCAACAGTTGAGTTAGCCACTTTCAGACCTTCTGCACTTCAAATTGGAATTCCAGAGGGAGTAATGAATATTCATAATGAAATGTTAAGGAATTGACGATTAAGCTATTAATTACCTCCTCTAGAAAAAACGATCTGTGAGCTTTCTTAATGCACTCGGTCCTGCTCCACAAAGAATGCAAAGTACCATCGTTAGGACTTTGTGTCAATGATAATATATCTCTTTCGTAATTAAACTTTTATCGTTTACGAAACACATGAAAATCGTGAAATCCCAAACTCTTTTTTTTTTCCTTCTACTAACAAATATTTACTTTACTTACATGTCACCCCCTTCACAATAGCCAGTTACAATGCAAACATGGTCCTCCTACAAAACATGAGATATCAAATGCCCACGATGCTACTGCCCATTACTTTACCATATGGAGAGATTACTTTGACAGCAGGAAATTCCATGCAAGGGAAACATGAGGATATAAATCCAGTAGCATCTGCAATCCTCATGGAAAGAAAGTGGTCGCATAAATGTAGTGTATCATGTTTTCCGTGGCTATGTTTTGAATAAAATGGTTCTGAAATGAATAGCCAACAATGGTTCACCCATCGATGCGTATAGTAGGTTCTGCAGTAAAAGATTCACAGAGAATTGAATTAAAGGTTGAAGGGATCATGTCCACTAATATGTCACTCACTTGGTTATTAAGACAAGGATGAAAACGAAAGCTCGCATTAACGACCTTTAGTTTTGTGACATGGTTAGGATACTTGGAAGAAAACGCTTGTGGTACTATGTCTCTGTGCAATTGTAATTTCTGCCTGCAGATACATGTCATAACAAAAGCATAAAAAACAACTTTCGAATTTATCAAGGAAATTATAACTATACACTCACATGACAGATAACAACAAGGTCGTCATACCCCGAAATCATGGTGTTCCACGTGACATTATTCCTCTGCGGCATTTCATCGAACAATACACATGCATCAATGTTCCATCCAGACTCATCTGCAATTATACTAAAATAATAGAGCAATTATACTAAAATAATAGAACAATTATACTCAGAACAATGAGCCGGAAATGAGCAGCATCTGGATCACCAAATTTTGGGTAGTCCCAAAACCATTTGTGCAATTGCTAAAGCCCTCGATTCTCCAAAGGCAAAAACATGTCCTATGGTAAAACTTATGATATTAGCAGCAGAAAAATATATATCTATTCATTAAAATATCAACATGATACCCGAAACAAAAGCACAAAACAAAGTTTTTGAGTAGAATCACTTTTCTTATATTATAAATAATTAATTAATTAATATAAATATAATATTACTTTATCGTATATCATACTAAATTAAAAGATTTGAATAAACTACTACAGATGGAAAATGCCCACTAATCCTTTTAACTCTCACTCATTCATAAAACCGTCTTCAATAATTATAACAATTTTTTCAATATAACTTCATTTGAAATATTACTATAAAACATCAATACAATAAACTTATATTTTAAATTAGTTAAATTAAAAATAAATAAAAAAAGCTAAAATCTAATATTTCACACTTATTAAAAAATAGAATATATTTTATGAAAACATATAAAAATAATTTTAATTGACCGTTATTTATGAAAAAAATGAGAAAAATCAAATTAAATATAATTTAGATTTAATTTTAATGAAATTTTTAAAATAAAATGGTTAAATAAATTTTTTTACTGATAATTTATAACAAAAATAATAAGTATTTTTCTTTATAAATTATCAATAAATATTTTAATAAAATATATCTGTGTATTACACAGATATACGTTTAATAATAATAATAGTGAAATTAAAATTAGAGTCAGGGTCGGTATCCTTAATATCTTAAGGTAGTTACCACTAGACTATGTGGCTAATTATATATTTCGTGTCATTTTATTGATAGATATATAGCTACTTAATTGCAATTTTTAAAAAAATACAAAGAAATCAGAACATGAGATTTTTCTCAATGTACTGTGTTTGGTTCTTCAAATTAAAATGGTGTTGTAGAAAAAATAAATTGAATATTATTGAATATGGTGCAGAGTATGCTTAAAAATTTCAACCTTCCTAAACCTTTAGGAATGAAGCACTAAAGATGATTGTCTATTTAAAGATAGGAAACCAAGTTTGCGACATATGCGTCTTTGGGAATATTTGTCTAAGAGGAGGGTTTATATCCATAAGAAAAGAAACTACTCAATGACTATCAATGGGTACTTCGTTTCATATGATGAAAGGTTTAAAGTTTATGATTTTTTATTATCCATCTCACATAACCAATGAAGTTAAGAAATACAAAGTTTCTTGAAAATCACTTGATTATTAAGTGTAGGGGTGGAAATAGTTTAGGCTAAGTTTTATAAGGCCTGAGTCTGACTTACGATAAATATGCAAGGTTTGAGTATGGTCTATGATCTATTATAGACTCATTTTTTTGATTCGACATGACCTTTTTAAAAGCATAGTCTGACCTGAAAGTCCATATTACTTAAGAAGCCTTATAGGATGACCTATATATGCATATACAGGTCGACCTATTTAACACACATATATATATATATATATATATATATATATATATATATATATATATATATATATATATATATATATATACACACATTTTTTCTAATATATATAAAAATATAGATCGGCCTATAAGGCTTCATAGATTTTTTTAATAGTTTAAGTCTGACATTTTTAATTAAATAGACTTTTAAAAAAGTCTAAGCCTGATCTTTTTAGTAAATAAGTCTGATATGACCTGACCTCAAATAGGTTAGGACATAGACCCTTGTAGACTGTCATGGTATATTCCCACCCCTAATTAAGAGTGATCAAATCAGAATCTTAGTTTTTATACATGATCATATAGAATCTTAACCTTCCATTTAGAGTGATAAATTGGTTATCATTTACAACATACCTCATTTTCAAATAAATGATTATCATGCGAATCTATGTGCTTATATGTATAGTCATGAAGTGATCTAAGATGACCAAGTCTTTGGATAGCAAGATGCAAGTCAACAAGTAGTTGCTTTTGTTTTGTTGATGACATATATATAAAAAATAATAATCCACTATCTTTTTCAATCTAAGTCAATTTGTCAGTTTATCCAAATTGACTAAATAATACTGCGAGATGATTACTTTACCTCATCCAAACTAAATAATTTTTATTTTGACTAAATTCAACATAAATCATCACTTAGATCCATACTCATAAGATTAATAATAGTTGGCATAATTTGTTCATAAGTCCCTTAATTTTAAGTGAAGTTTCGTTTTGGTCCCCAAACTAAAAAATATTATATAATGATCCCTTAACTTCACTTCCATTAAACCATTTGGTCCATTATGTTAGTTTGAGTGAAAAAACATTAATTATGACTGAGGTGACATAACAACTAGGATACTGAGTCAACAAATTAATTAAAAAATTGATATTTTATTTAATATTTCTAATTTTATTTTTTTATTCTATATTTTTGCTCTTTTTATTGTTATTAGCTTGTTTATTAAGATGTTATTTTAGTTCTTAAACTATTATTACTAGTTTGTTTTTCAGTTATTATTATTATTATTTGCATTTTTTTGTTAGTTAGGGTAATGATTTTATTTCTAAATTATTATTAGGTTATTATTATTAATTTGTTGTTATCATTAATGTTATTATTATTATTATTATTATTTTTGGGTCTATTTTGTAGTCCATCGAGTCAGCGAAAAAAAATTCCAATTAAAACTAAATCAAATTGCAAACCCCTTCATACTAAAACTAATATCTAAAAGCTTGATTTTGTACAAAATCAATACAAATCATGCACAAAATCAAATACCTTCATTACATTTATATCAACACCAAAACATTTCCAAAATGAATGAACCAAGATTAATAATATGTAAAAAAGTATAACAATTCTTCTCTTTTCATAACAAAATCAGAACATTCCACACCAAAACAGAATTTAACATGAGAAAATCATATACATAACTAGATCTACAATAGCATCATAATCAAAATTCTTTTACATAGCATAACGAAACAAATAACTATATGAACTCTAACACTCCAATATTGATCAAAACTGGAAAAGAATGCAACTTTATTTGCCTTTGGTGAGATATTTAACTCTTTTTAAATTATGACGACGCATACCTACAACTGGAAGCTTTAAAAGCATATGTACAAGAATTGCAGCAACATCATGTTAGTGCTCAGTAACAAGTTGAGCAAACTACAAACAAGAAATATTCAGATTAATCAGGATAAATGGACACAAAAATAAGAATTTTCTTTCTGACAAAAATAAGAACTTTATTTCCTTTAATAGAAACATCAATTCAAGACCAAAAATTCAAGGAGATAACCAAGAATAATATACCAAAGGGCTTACTTGATTCACATAGTTGAAGAATTTCTCCTTGTTCGGATCCACTGTCAACACCGTTAACACTCCACGGATCCACCGTCCAAGCATTTTTATCCACCACAACTCGCAACCAGCTACACCACGCCTTCCACCAAGCTTCGAAACTCACTTCTGTTTCTTTATCCTTGTAAGCAAAAAGGTCACCAATGTTGAATGAAGAAGAGAAGATGAAGAATGACGAAGGAGAAGAGAAGATGAAGAGGAAATAAGTTGATGGCTAGGGTTAGGGGGGAGGAAGAAGAGAGACATTTGAATGTTTAATAAATAAAAATAAATATAAAAAACATATCAATTACAAAATCCATCTCAAGCTATATATATCTAGAAAGACAACTTTTAACGTTTTTTCTTCAAAAACTAACGACAAGACCAAAATATGTTACATAATATAAGTTAATGGACCACTATGTAACATTTTTTAAAGGACTAAAGCAAAATATTGAGTAAAATTAATGGACCAAAAGAGGTATTAAGCCTAAATAGTTTTATAAAATCTTTAAAAAATTTAAAATTTCTCGTGAGAGATATTTAATTATATTTTTGTAATACCTATGCAAATGAATAAATAAGCTAAGTAGCGTGGCGCAATTACCCACTGCTTCCATTTATGTAAGGTAGTAGTTGAAACAAGAAGAAAGAAGAAGGCACAAAAAAGCATCGAGAAAATTTGATACTATTATTATGGCTACTTTGCTAAAACACCTTCCAAGTCCTACTATCTCAATCTCACCAGAAAACAATCTTCTCTCAGACTAAACCCAAACCCCTCTCTTCATCTCAACCATAGTTTTCGTTTTAACACCACAATCTCTTACAATTCTACTCATTCCAACAACGATACAAAACCACAATCTCAATCTGAAGCCATTCAACTTTACTCCTAAATCGAAAAGTTCTTTCTCTTTAACCTAACAACTTTGCTTTACATTCATTCTTCATAACACTTTCTTTTTTTACAACTAGGATTCTTTAATTGGAAACCTAAAAATGATTAAAAATAATTTGTTTTAAATTTATAACGTGTATTTGTGGTTT